GCAATCTCCGGTCAAGCGCAACCAGAAGAAGCTGCCAGACTTTGAGAAGGCTTTGTCATCCTGGGTCAACAAAAGGAAGACACGCTACGGGGCTGACATTTCAGACGAGGAGATCCTGCAACAGGCTCGTCACTTTCGTCTGACCGTCGGTGGCGAGTCGGAAAGCCAGTTCAAGGCCTTGTTGAACGGCTCGTGGCTGGAGAAGTTCAAGCAGAAGAACGGTATCGGTCAACCGAGGTTGTTGCGGAGGGCATCTGAGACGAGCATAATCGATCATGCGAAACTCTCTGCCTCGCCATCGCTGACGCACGGCATCATGTCAACCACGTCGCCTACGGGACAGCCTTCGCCCCTCTCGGCAGACCGGAGCGACGAGGACGCACACAACAACGGCCTCGGGTTCATCCCCTACTCTCCAGACGGCAACTCGTACAAGCACGCAAACTCGCATAGCACGACGTCTCTCAACAGTGCCTTTACTGACGCAGCGGCGTCCTCTTTCTCGGGTGGTGCGCTGAGTCCCACAGGTCCATTCACCTTCTCGCCAGATCCAAATGTTGGCAGTTTCCTCGCACCCGATCAGACTCGCCAAATGCAAGTGGGCGCAGGCTCCAACTTCTCGCGGCCGAGGAGCCAAACCTTCCCGACCCTGGATCTGGAGTACATGAACGCAGCGGGTACGACGACAGAGCCTTCAACCCCGAGGTTTCACCCCTCGGCGACCGCCCCTTCCTCGGCTCTGGAGTCTCCTGTCCACGAGATGAACGCAGCTCCGTTCGGCATCGACAACGCCATCGCCTCGTCACCGCATCTGCATCACAGCAGCAGCAACAGCAGCATGGCTGGGCGGTCAACCACCACTCCGATCAACAGCGGTTTGTCGTCGACCCCTGTTGGCTCTTCTCCGACGTCGCCCACGCAGGAGGACGCCCGGAGGGCAGCAGATACGTTGCTCAACTTTATCCAAAGCAACGCTTCCAACGGCTTTGTCGACCAAAACGAATACGCGACCGTCCTGCGGCTGACGGAGAAACTTCGCATCCACCAGCAGCAAGCGACCAAGTCGATCAACGTCACGGCCATCGGCGGTCTTTCGAGAATACCGGAAGGCGATTCGGAGATGCCGCCGCCGCCAACAACGAACCAGCATGTCGAGGCGACCATGTCTGGTTGAATGTAGGCTCTCGGTCGTACATGGGGACTGGACTGGCCACATACGAGGCCATCAGGTGTCTGGCCAATTTTTTCGCACATGGGAGATTATCATCATTGTTCGTCACGGCGTTGGCTTTGCTTCTCGAACGACAGTTTAGCGTTCGATGGTCGAATTACAGCATTTTGGGACGATGGAAAGGAATTCCATCGTAGGGACCGACTATTCTGGGACGAAGAAGGTGAGAAAGGGGGGTTCTACAACAAACAGACAACGATCCTGCAAAGGACAGAAACAAAACACGACAGGTGCCCAGCTACCGTCGGCAAGGAAAACCACCACAGGCGCAGCCCTCGCGAGGGAACGCTCGGCTCAGATATACACGACTGACGTCTCACGACGAGGTACACTGGCTTCAGGGCCTGCCGGCAGAACACGACGGGACGATTCGGGCCACTGGGCCTGAGAGGATGCACCGGCATGGACATCTTTCGGTATCCCGTGCCACGACGGCGCTACACGCTGGGCACTGGCATGGGCGACCGATCATCGAACCCAACGCGGAACTTGGGCGGAGGGAGCAATCCGGCGAATGCACCCCCGGTGTACATCTCTCTAACCACTCGCCCCCCCTCGACACAAAAACAACAATCCACGATACCCCTTACTCGACATTACTTCTTCCACCCTCCTCGACTGAAGGGAAGACTTATTTTCTCACCCGCTCACGCGGAAAATACACAACTACTTGCCCCTTTTTTTGACTTTGTTTTGTTTGATTTTCTCTTAGGCAACTACTTCCCGTCTGGAAACCCCGTCAGCATGTTTTTTTTTCTTTTCTTGTTTTCAAACATTCACTTTTCTCTTTCTTTCTCCTCTTCTCCAGCTTTCTCTCTCTCTCTCTCTCTCTCTCTCTCTCTCTCTTTTCCATTCATCGTTTCCTGGACAGACATATATGCACGCAGCCAGTCTTCCATCATAGTTCGGAGAGCAAAGGAGCGAGTCTGAGGAAGAGAGGAAGAGGATCTGTCTGTACATTTCTTCGACTCCCGCAGGGGAATCTGGGTTCATACGCGGCTGCTGCGCCACGATACCAATGTTTGTGTTAATGGCTTATTTTCATCATTTCCAAAGTCGTCTCCTCGGAGACCTGGGAAGGGATTCGGAGAGGGGCCCGGGGCGGGGGCTTTGTTGAGCAAGGGGGAAGGGCAACGGACCGACGGTGATACCCGCATCGGGGCCGATCCGCAGAGGAAGAAGAAGACACGCGATTCAGTCTGGCGAGGAAAATACAACAGCAGCTGACGGAAAGGAAGGCACGGGAACAACGACGGGAGAGCAAGGGGAAAGGGGAACGTCCGGCGAGGCTGGCGAGCCCGGACTGCCAGACTCCTTTCCCCCCACTCCAAAGCGCAGGCGAGGAAAGGGGAGCACCCGACAACCCGGACACACACTGAGAGATTGAAAGACAAAGAACCCGACGGGCGGCCCCTATCTACATTTTTTAGTTTCGGGGAGTTGGCCCTCCCTTTCCCCCCCTTCTTTTCCTTTCAGCACGTAATCGAATCAGCGAGTCTGTTCTTCCTCTTGACGTCTTTCTTGACAACCTCAAGCCTGCATGCAACGCAATGAAAGGGCAGGAAGGGTGTGGTGAAGGGCTGTCACCTCGAGAATGGCACACAAGTGATTCAACAGCAAAAAGTAAACGTAAAAGTAAATGCGGGTATCAGCTTAACCTTTCGTCCCAGAGCTCGGCCACCCCCTTTTCCGCCAGCTCGGGCATGAGCCGCACCAATATGAGCTCTAGAATGCCATACATGAGGTGTCTGTTACAGTACTCGTCAGAGAAGACGTCCAGTATCCCCTCCTCAATCTCGCTCAGAACCCGCTCCTCCTCCGCCGCCCTATCCTCCTCGCTTTCCTCGCGCTCCTCCGTCGAAGCTTGCCCGCCACTAGTGCCAACATCCCGTTCGCCCTCTTCCCGCGCCGTCGCTAGCTCGCCACGGCCACTGAGACCGCGACTCGGAACGGTCCGCGAGCGGAGACCGAGGCCTCGCCCGCTGAGGTAGAAGCGAGACAGCCACCTCGGCACCAGGGCCAAGAGGGCGCTAGCGCAACGGCGGCGCAGGGCGCGCAGCTGGCTCTCGTCGGCGGGCGGCGTGAGAGACGAGACGCCCTGGGCGTTGTTAGGGAACAGAGCGCCGCGAGTGGCGCGCAGGAGTGTCGGGAGGTGGGACGAGTCGAGGAGGCGGCTGTGGATTGCGTGGGAGAGGAGTCTGTGGCTTGTCAGCCTCGTGTCGCCTTGTGCACATCTGTGGTTCTGAGATGCAACGGAACGTGCGTGCTTCATGTGTGTGAGGACGAGAAGGGGTGTGGAGCAGCTTTGGCCTCAAAGGGGAAGGGATCTGAAGGGTGTGGTAGGAAGCTGTGGTGATCGGACAGGGGAAGGGGCCAGAAACGGCAGCCAGACGCACTGGCGAGCAGGCAAGTGACCGTACGACCACAAGGCGTAGCAGCGAGATTGACAATGATCGACTAAGACGTCTTGGTCCAAGAGGCACAGACGGCAAGGTGTGATTGATATCGGACTGGGGTTGTGGCGGGGGCGGATTGTACAATCGAAATGAAGGCGAGAACACGCAAAATTTGAGGCTTGACTAGGGCCAGGGGCAAAGGGGGTCGGATGTCCAGGCCTCGCGGGTTCTTGGTGCGGGGTGGACTCTCGGAACGCACAGATTGGATGTGAAGGGTAGAACTCAAGTGTGGAAGGCCATGATCCTGGCGGCCGGGGGTGCAAGCAAAACCGCTCTCAGTGATATGTGACAGAGGTAGTGTTTGTCTCGCGAGCTTTAGGCTCCGTGATGGAGGGTGGATGTAGCCAGACCGAGGCCCAACGCTAGGCCAAGACGAGGCGGTCGATGTCGTGAACGGCGACTGCTGCCGTCAGCCAAGTACGGGAATCGAACGATGTCCCAACAAAGAGCTGTTCGAATGCCAGGGGTCGTATGGTTTGGTTCCTGGCGTCCAAGCTGCTTTGGTTTTTGCAGCGCGGATCCGAGGGATATCTGGTCCCTGGTCCTTCGCCGTTCGAGCTTGGCATCCGGCCTGGCCAAGCCATGGAGCTCGATAGAGCCATGGCGGCAGCCACAGAAGACGGGTGATGGAAACCGGCGGCAGCGGCGACTAGTCGTCGACCAGGCGATGGACGATCAACTTGGTTGTGGGGGGGGGGGATTAAAAATCAATCCAGACAGGCCAGTCGTGGTGAACGAGATGACCTGGGTCTGGTAGCGAGTGAGAGCGTGCTTGGCGGTCCCTGGCACGTCCGCGGACAATAACTGGCGGATGTGGGCGCTTAACGCAGAGAAAACGAGGCGTACGGTTGGAGGGAGGGATGACTCGGGGAACCACCTCGCGAAGAATATCGGACACGAGTCTCGCCCTCTGTTCACGTCATTGGCGGCCGCTGCGCTTCGGCATTGTAGTTTGTGAGGGCGGCGTGGATGGGGATAGGCCGTCTCCGGTGCTCATAACAGGAGCCATGTAGGTCGTACAGTGATGTTGGTGTTTGTTGATTGATGGCCGATACGATATGTTTTGTGGCTCGGACCCGAGTTGTCCCGCTGCCCACCCTCCCTCCTTTCTTTCAGCTGCCTATCGCTAAGGGGAGGAGGGTGAGCCCAAGATTCTGGGCCACGGGGTCACACTGTGCACACTGGTACATCAAGGTCATGCTGGCAGCTCACTGGAGCGATGCCTCGTCCAGTGACCCGGGGCTTATGCGGCGAAATGATCAAATGGTCGCCGAGAGGGGGGTTCAAATACGAAACAAGAAAGACACGGTGACCTACCTGTCGAGAGGACCGTCGAGGCCTGCGAGTTTCGCCGGACCACTGACAGCGCCGAACTGAAGCATGGAGAGGGCTCCGCTCAGCCACGGCGTGCGAGCATCGAGCTCGATCAAGCTAGAGATGCAGCTCCACAGCTTGAAGGTGACGATGGGTGCCTTGACTGGCTTGGAGGCGTTGGCTTTGGCTGCTTTCGTGGCGGATCCAGAACCTGCTAGAGAATGCTTTGCATCCAAGGCTGGTGTCGACCTGGCGGGCAACGAGGACGAGGAGGCGAGGGTCAGCACGACGAGCTGTACCACCGTGAACGCCATGAACAGCCATTGGATGACGCCCCAGAAGATGCCTTGGAAAGACCATCCCCGTGTTGAGGATTCCGGCTCGATGATGGGCGCGTCTGGCGACAGTGCCTCGGCCACACCCTCTTCTAGCGTTGTCTTTTCCGGCTCTCTCTTGCCCAATACCCTGACGAGGATGATCATGATCTCCCATAACATCCAAGGCTGCGCAAGTTTGTTGATAAAGACATTGCCAATGATGAGCTCCGACAAGATCTGGCCAACGAGAGCCGTCAGACACTCGTTTTCGAGATCCTCTGTCGGCAGCAGTATGGCCAAGACGCCCTGCACCAAGAGCTGCCGGTACATTGTCTCGTTCTCCTGCTGCTTTGCAGCGGACTCGGGGTCTTCGGGCTTCGGAACCGGTGACAGAGGCACCAGCGGACAGAGAGCATGGTATATATCTCGAGGGTTCACTTGCGTCGGCGGTCGTGCCACTGGATTATGAGCAGTGCGATAGGCTGATTTTGGTCACACCGTCAGCGAGCGTTCTAGGTCCTGTGACAAAGGGCGCAAACCTGTGATGTGGTTGTCCAGGAGATCTGGCAGCTCGTCCAAAAGCAGGCTCTCCAAGTCCACCTTTCGTAGGCGCTGCTCGAGCGCTCTCGTGCAGTGTGCGATGATCTGCAGGATCTCGGCGACAAAGGTCTCGTCTGATGTGATCTTGGAGTACCAGGCCTGGACAAAGTCCCTCAAAATGACAGCCAGCAAGGCATATAGCTGCAAGTCGACATCGTTTCGGCTCGTCAAGGGCGGGAGGAGGTCCTCGAGAGGCGGCGGCGTGCCGTTGCCAGCTTGGTGCTGGGGGCAGAGGACACGGCGAACGAAGGCGGCGGTGGCATCGTCGGAGAGGAAGTCGGTGGACAGAGGCCGCTTGGACCGTCGGGTCACGGGGACGAATGGCGGCGGAGGTCGAGGAGCGGCTGGCGGAGGGGCACCGGGCCTGGATGTGAAGGCCGAGGCGGCGGCTGCTGGTGCGGTGGCCGCGTGGGATGAGGTGCTAGTTGTTGCAGCCGCCTTGGGACGCGGGGTCGATGCGCGCACGGGAGCTGCCGCTGTCATGGCTGGTCACCTTGATCTGGAGCGGTGCGACGGCGGCGTGTCATGGTTTGCCGTGCAGATCCAGATGCAGCGAGTAGGTCCAGGTCCAGGTCCAGCTTTTGGGACGAGGGCCGGGCTGGCGTGAGATGTCGTCAAGATTGGGTGTATGCAGGGAGAAAGATTGGCCCCGGGGAGAGTGGGTTTGGTCGGTGGGCAGCCGTTGACAAGCATGAGTGCTGAAGATCTGGAGACGGGCGGTTGACCGCATGCACCCAAAATGAGCAGTACCTAAGGTACCTCCTAAGCAAGTACTAGGTAGATGCCACGGGCCTGGCTGCGTTAGCTGTAGGTACTTGGGTCCGAAGCTAGGTACTTCAGGTAGCGGGACTCCCCTGAACCGTGCACTGCAGCCCGCTAAAAGCATCCCCCAGCTCGTGCATAAGTTCTTCCCTGCACCTGCACCTTCAGGGGCCGCATCACCCTATTCTTACTCCCCTCTGCGCTGGCCTTGCTGGATGGATAGATACCCTGACTTATGTAGCCTTGCTGCCAGACATGCACAACGTCAAGTCAAGAACAAGGCTGAGGACGACAGGCAAGCTCAGACTTGTCTGAGGTAGTAATGACCAATCATGCGATATGCAGGAGTCGGGTACATAAACAATCGGTCTACAGCGGCATGGGGCTCACACAGGTGCTCTAAGCATCCTCTGCGCCGACAAATGATACACGTCTATACATTATTATACAGAGCTCGCAGCATCAACTCTCGTGGCCCCCATCTCATCTCCTCACAGGCCCTTGCCCTACTCCTTCATTGTTGTTTCGTAGCTATCATCTGTCAGCAATCTACATTGTCTCACTTGGGGGGAAGAATTGTAGCAACATACCGTTTACCACGGAACGCCCAGACACCCCAGTTGCCACAGCTGATATCTTGCGGGTCGAGGTCGTTGATATCCCACCTCAGACTCCTAAAGAGGTTCTCACCCGGCTCCAGGAGGATATCAAACTCGCCGGCTGCTGTCTTGCGGACCCACTCAATGTCCCTCTCCATGTCGAACTGTGTGTAGCCCGTCGCGATGATGGGCACCTTGGTCTCCAGCAGCTGCGGGAGCGTTTCCGTCCACTCGTGGCTACTCGCCGGATGGCCCAGACCCGGGTGGAACAGGACGAAGCAGTCGAAGTAAGGATCATACGGCGCAAAGTACTGCGCCGTGTGCAGCGTGTGGTAGTAGTCAACAATGGTGCTGATCTTCATCTTGGACGACACCCGGTCCTCGACCACCATGCCGAAGGGGTTGGACGCCGTGCGCTCAGGCAGCGGGAATTCGTCGTCGCGGTTCGCCATGCTCTCGGGTCCGATGAAGATGAGGTGGATCTTGCTGTCGGGGAAGAGGTGCGCCAGCTGCACCCAGACATTCCTCGGCAGCGAAGACTCGGCGCGGGCGCCCAGGCAAAAGACGCGCACTGGGGGCGCCTCGGGTCGTAGGTTCTTGATATCAATGCCCTTGCCGTTCTTGGGAGGATGAAGGGTGTAACGGAGGGCTAGTAAGGATCATCAGCCTACAGAAATTCACATGCGTATGGAGGCCAGGAAGAACATACCGCTCAAGCTTCGGATACCCTCGCCTGTCAACCGGCCTCCCTTGCTCAGGCTGTACGGACTGAGCTCATGGAGAATGCTGCCAATTGTGACGGGATACGTCAGCATCTTGGTGACCTGACGCATACTACGCTCGTCGTTGATCGCATCGAACTCTCGCGTGTACATGAAGGTATCCCAATTGCTCATGTTGACCACAGCCTCGGGCAGCTGGTCTTCGGCCATCTCAAACTCAGGGAACGCACGACCAGAGTGGAGGTCATGATCATCCTCGTTGATCTCGCGGAGCTGGTCGCAAATCTCGAGGTGCGACTCGTAGTCGGCCATCCAGTGTTCCTTGCTGCAGGACACCGGGATGCCGCAGTCGGGACACTCAAAGTCAACATGAGCAGGCGCCATGGTACCACCCTCTTTCGCCTCTTCTCCATCTTGCGCGATAGTTGGAACCCGTGTGGGCCGGTGGTCGGGATGAGAACAGTAGGCATGCTGCCTCATGAACGCAGCGCGGCGACGAATTGCTGGGATCGGACTGTTCGAGTACGAATGGAAGAGGTTGTCCTGCTTCAAGGCAGGCTGATATTCCGTAGCGATCGTCTTGGAAGCTGTAACTGTCTGCGAGGAAGCCTTGGAGGTCGAAGCAAAGCCTCTTGCCGGGGCGGTGTTTCCTTTCGATCGTCTCGGTGTTGTCGAGTGGATGGCACGGATGGAGTGGGCCGATGTAGCTTGGGCAATATGAGCGACAGGTCTGCCGGCGACTAATTGCCTCCTTGCGGTGGTCGAGCATCGTGTGCAGAGGCCAGAGGCCGCAGCCCTCAGAATTGGCTCCATGACAGTGGTGTGGTGGTCTCGAACGACGAGAGCAAGTGTGTCTCGGCAGCGATCTGGTGGTTCGAGCAGAGCCCTCAAATCAAAAGTACATATACCATGCAACCATGATCCCGAAATTTTGGAGGATCATCCGGCTCAATCATCGGTCCGGGCTCTCCAGTGTACCCCACATGCTGCTGATTGGCCTCGGTGAGCTCCCAGCCCCCACGTTTCGCGCTATCTTGATCAATCCACGCTTCCTGAGCTCTGAAATTTCGTGCCTGGAGCTCTTCACCTCCCCTCAACTTGCGCCTTCTCATCACCCCCGATTTCCAACTTGGACTTCAGACTGATGCCGCGCAGGCAACCTGCGGCCCAGCTGTCATCATGGCAACCACCTCGAACATGTTTCTCTACTCCCTGACGGTCCAGCCGCCGACGAATGTCACGCTGGCCGTCCTGGGCCAGTTCGCTGGAACCAGGGAGCAACACATTATCACCGCCTCTGGGTCGCGCATCACCCTCGTGCGGCCTGATGCCGCCCAAGGCAAGGTCGTCACTGTGCTTTCGCACGATGTCTTTGGCATCATTCGGTCCATGGCCGCCTTCCGTATTGCCGGAAGCAACAAGGGTAAGTCGCTCGTGGTCCCCCGTCCTTTCCTCCCCCTCCCCTTTCGAGGCTTCAGTTAGTGATTCGAGAAGCTTGTGCTCCTACCCGGAGCATGCAGTCTCAGCGATCCACTCGGCTGGCGGCAGATGTCTTTTGAGCAACGCGCTAAAGCTGTTCTTCAGACTACCTTATTCTCGCGACGGACTCGGGCAGGATTGCCATCATTGAGTACCTCCCGGCGCAAAATCGATTCCAACGTCTCCACCTGGAGACTTTTGGCAAATCTGGCATTCGTCGCGTCGTGCCTGGCGAGTTTCTCGCTTGCGATCCCAAGGGTCGAGCGTGCTTGATTGCATCGCTCGAGAAGAACAAGCTCGTCTACGTTCTCAACCGCAACTCCCAAGCCGAGCTCACCATTTCTTCGCCCCTCGAGGCCCACAAGCCTGGCGTCCACGTACTGTCAATGGTGGCACTGGATGTAGGCTACGCGAACCCCGTCTTTGCCGCGCTCGAGACAGACTACACCGAGGCCGACCAAGATCCGACAGGACAGGCTGCTTTGGATGTCGAGACCCAGCTCGTCTACTACGAATTGGACCTTGGTCTGAACCACGTAGTACGAAAATGGTCGGAGCCCGTCGACAATACTGCTTCTCTCCTCTTTCAAGTTCCTGGCGGCAACGATGGGCCCAGTGGAGTCCTCGTCTGCGGGGAAGAAAACATTACCTACCGACATTCCAACCAGGAGGCTTTCCGGGTACCTGTTCCACGCAGGCGTGGCGCGACCGAGGACCCTTCGAGGAAGCGGTGCATTGTTGCGGGAGTCATGCACAAGCTGAAGGGCAGCGCCGGTGCCTTCTTCTTCTTGCTTCAGACCGAAGACGGCGACCTCTTCAAGATTACTATCGATATGATTGAAGACCGCGACGGCAATCCTACGGGTGAGGTTAAGCGCCTGAAGATCAAGTACTTCGACACCATCCCTGTGGCGTCTAGCCTCTGCATTCTCAAGAGCGGTTTCCTCTACGTTGCCAGTCAGTTCGGCAACTACCAGTTCTACCAGTTCGAGAAGCTTGGAGACGACGACGAGGAGCTGGAATTCTCGAGTGACGATTTCCCGACCGATCCCAAGCAGTCGTATGAGGCTGTGTTCTTCCACCCCAGGGAACTCGAGAACCTGGCACTTGTTGAGAGCATCGATTCGATGAACCCTCTCATCGACTGCAAGGTGGCCAACCTTACGGGCGAGGATGCCCCTCAGATCTACACAGCGTGCGGTAACGGGGCAAGGAGCACATTCAGAATCCTCAAGCATGGCTTGGAAGTGAATGAGATCGTCGCCTCGGAGCTTCCCGGCATTCCCTCGGCTGTCTGGACTCTGAAGCTCAGCCGCGGCGACCAGTACGATGCGTACATTGTGCTATCTTTCACCAACGCCACGCTGGTCCTGAGCATTGGAGAGACCGTCGAAGAAGTTAACGACTCGGGTTTCCTAACCTCAGTACCAACTCTGGCTGCCCAACTCCTCGGTGGCGAAGGCCTGATTCAGGTCCACCCCAAAGGTATCAGACACATCCGCAACGGTCAGGTCAACGAGTGGGCGGCCCCTCAGCATCGATCTATCGTCGCTGCTACAACAAACGAGCACCAGGTCGCCGTCGCTCTGAGCTCAGGTGAAATCGTCTACTTCGAGATGGACTCGGACGGTTCCCTCGCTGAGTACGACGAGAAGAAAGAGATGTTTGGCACCGTCACATGTTTGAGTTTGGGCGAAGTTCCTGAAGGCAGGCTCCGCAGTTCATTCCTCGCAGTCGGCTGCGACGACAGTACTGTCCGAGTTCTCAGCCTTGACCCCGAAACCACTCTCGAGAGCAAGTCCGTGCAGGCTTTGACCGCTCCTCCCACATCACTCGCGGTCATCGCTATGGAGGATTCTTCCTCTGGCGGCTCAACACTTTACCTACACATTGGACTACACTCTGGCGTCTACCTCAGGACTGTGCTTGATGAAGTGACTGGCGAGCTCACTGATACGCGTCAGAAGTTCCTCGGTCCCAAGCCGGTCAAACTTTTCCAGGTCACAGTCCAAGGTCGAACTTGCGTTCTTGGCCTGAGCTCACGACCATGGCTTGGCTATGCCGACCCAATTACCAAAGGATTTGTCGTCACGCCACTGAACTATGTTGATCTGGAGTGGGGTTGGAACTTCAGCAGCGAGCAGTGTGAGGAAGGTGTCGTCGGCATTCAAGGACAATCTCTTCGGTATGTATCTCTTTTTCTTACCCCCAAACTCCCTTGCATGAAATGATGAGAACTGGAATCCTACGCCAACACGGCACTGAGGTTTTACGCATTATTACCAATTGTTCCTACTGAAACATGCTATCAAACTATCTTTTTTATTTCGAGATGATCAGCTTGAGCACCTTCTGACAGAATACAGGATCTTCGCCATCGAAAAATTGGGCGACACCTTGACTCAGAAGTCAATCCCTTTGACCTATACGCCAAGGCGAATGGTCAAGCATCCAGAACACCCCATGTTCTACACTATTGAATCGGACAACAACACGCTCCCACCAGAGCTGAGGGCACAGCTCCTCGCAGACCCCAGCGTGGTCAACGGCGACGCGCGGACACTGCCGCCGGCAGAGTTTGGATATCCCAGGGCCAAGGGCCGTTGGGCTTCTTGCATCAGCGTCATTGACCCTCTGTCTGAAGAGCTCCAGACGCTACAGACCGTCGATCTCGACAACAACGAAGCAGCAGTCAGTGCGGCCATTGTCCCCTTTACAAGCCAAGACAACGAAAGTTTCCTGGTTGTTGGTACCGGCAAGGACATGATTGTCAACCCCCGACAGTTCACTGAGGGTTATATTCATATCTATCGGTTTAGCGAGGACGGTCGAGAACTCGAATTTATCCACAAGACCAAGGTAGAGGAGCCGCCCACGGCCCTCCTCGCCTTCCAGGGAAGACTGGTCGCTGGTGTCGGCAAGACGTTGAGGATTTACGATCTTGGTCAAAAGCAAATGCTTAGAAAAGCGCAGGCCGATGTTGCCCCGCAGCTTATCGTGTCACTAAGCACACAAGGCAGTCGAATCGTCGTGGGCGATGTCCAGCAGGGTGTGACTTATGTCGTCTACAAGCCTCTGTCCAACAAGCTGATCCCCTTTGTTGATGACACGGTCGCGCGCTGGATGACCTGCACGACGATGGTCGATTACGAATCCGTCGCTGGTGGCGACAAATTTGGCAACATCTTTATCGTGCGCGCGCCTGAAAAGGCCAGCCAGGAGGCCGACGAAGAGGGAGCGGGCCTGCATCTGACGAACACAAGGGATTATCTCCACGGCACACCTCACCGCCTGAGCCTCGTCAGCCACTTTTACTCGCAGGACGTTCTCACAAGCATCACCAAGACCAGCCTCGTGGTCGGAGGTCAAGATGTGTTGCTCTGGAGCGGCATTAGCGGCACGATTGGCGTGTTCATCCCCTTCGTCACCCGTGAGGATGCAGACTTCTTCCAAACCCTGGAGCAGCACCTTCGGACAGAAGACGCGCCTCTGGCGGGCCGCGACCATCTCATGTATCGCGGCTACTATGCGCCCGTCAAGGGCGTCATAGACGGCGACCTCTGCGAGAGGTATACGCTGCTGCCGAACGACAAGAAGCAGATGATTGCGGGTGAACTGGACCGCTCCGTGCGGGAGATTGAGAGGAAGATCTCGGATATTCGCACTCGGTCTGCGTTCTAAGTCTACGGGACAAGGCACGTTGCTTGGCGTTGAAGGCGTACGACTTGTTTTATTCTACAACGAAAGGAGATCTTGATAGTTGATTTGGCATATTTGGGAAGCGGTCGGGCGTTTCGGAGGGCCCGGGTTTCTACGAGGCCGTCGCGACGGGCGGGCTTGCTTCACGAGGTAGCGAAAAGGAAAGCACAGGGACGGGTGTAACAATTGTGTACCTGTTGGCCCAGCCTTTGTAATGATGCAATGATATCTAATAACGCCGCCTGTCCTACCATGTCTCTTGGCTTGTGATATCCCCCCTCCGTCGAGCACGCCTGCATCCATGAAGTGACTGTTGCGTGACAGCTGCGCACGTGGTCCGGTCACAGCATCTTCCACCATCCGCCCCGGCTCGCGCCCTTGCCTTTGCCCTTGCCGCCCAGCCCCGCGCCCTCCTGCGGATGCGCCCTCTCCCACGCGGCATCGGCCTCCCAGCTTTCGACGGCGGCGCGCAGGTCGTGCCCCGCCTGCTCGAGGTACAGCGTCGCGACGTCATAGTCGGCGACCTTGCACGCGACCATGAAGCGGCGCAGCGCGGCCTTGCGGCGGATCTCGTCCGCCGACTCGACGGGGTGCGGGCTCAGGCTCGGGCTGCCGGCCGGATAGTGGCTCGCGGGGATGCGGAGGGTGCGGCGGGCCGGGAGGAGGTGGTCGGCCGGGAGGTTGTTGTGGGCGCGCAGGACCTGGGGCGGCACGTTGTAGGCCAGGGCCAGGGAGGTCAGGGTGTCGGTGGCGTGGTCGAGGTGGTGGATTGTGTCGTCGGCCTTTTCTCCGAGGAGGGGCGGCGGCGGCGGGGAAGGGGTCGGGGATGAAGATGAGGAGGGCCGCGGCGGCGGGACGGGGGAGGACTTGTCGCGGGTGGTCCTGAGGCCTGAGGGCAGCGGGGTGGCGGCGGTGGAGGTTTGGCAGTAAGGGCAGTAGAGGGCGAAGCGAGCGTTTGTCTGGAGATGTTAGAACCTAGAAAGCAAAGTCCTCCGCGAGCCGTTGCCTTGGTCATGGGAGTATTCTTGGGTCCCGAGGGGGCCGGCGTACGTAAAGACAGCTGCCGCAGATGGTGCGGTTGCAGCATGGCAGAGCGCGGGGCTCGGGGAGGGGCTTCTCGGAGCCTGATGTGTAACGCGGGGCCGTGGCTAGGAGTACGGCGCATGTGCAGCACGCGTCGCCGGTCGCCGGCATTGACTGGAGCGACGCCTTGAGCTGCTGTGGTGGTGGGTGCATACTGAATCCGCGGCGTGGAGAACGAGTGGTGAAGTGAAGGTTGGAGGGGTCGTCAGTGATGAGCCGTAATGAGCGCGATGAGGGCAGGTTGGCAAGTGTGGGTTATCAGGTTGTAAGAATGACGGCTATTGAGAGCCGTGAAGGAGAACGCAGTGTGCGGAATGAACTCTTGAGAATTCGCCATCCGAACCCTGAGCTACGTCGTTGACTTTGTCTACATCTCAGTCAGGTACTGGGTGTCGCAGGGCAGGGGAAATAGTCAGCAGAGCTACCCCTCGCATTCGCCACCCTGCTCCAACTGCTGTTGTAGTGCCTCCCATTCCACGTTGCCGTCTACGCCTTTATGTTCTGCGAGTATAAGCCATGCTCTGGGGCATTATTTGAGACATGGAAGACTTCAACAGCTTGGTTACTCGAGTGATCAAGCCATGTGCCTGGATTTGATTCACCCACGATCGATGGCCATTACTCTTCGTTCACAGTCAAGTTTGATTTCATGACGCGGTAGCACCGAATTCGAACGCGTAAAAACCCTCCCATGGTCCTATTCTCACACTCCGCACATAGCCCGTAGTTAATTGAATAACTAACAACCTCGGCAGCTGAGCCATGGCCAATATATCACAGAGAGCAAGGTATCGGCTCAAGCGGAGTGACGCAATGACTGGTGGTGTGGCACGCGAGCTTCCCCACCTCAGGGCCGGTGGATCACTACATAGTGACCACACACAGCCCTGCATTTCAATTCAGCCCTTATAGCACAGTGGTAGTGCGTTGCACTTGTATGCTCTGGGTTACAAACACTCTCAGCAAGAGATGCAAAGGTCACTGGTTCAATCCCAGTTGGGGGCAACACCTTCAATTCAGGCTTTCATTTTTCTTTTGCCTTCACCATCACTTGTGCATACACCGCGGGACCACTGAATTGGCTTGAGCTTGAGGCGTTGTGGCTGGCGTTAAATTGTTTTGTTCACCTGCATGTAAGCACCAGAGCTCACCTCGAACTGAGGCCAGGCATTCAACACGCATCGACGACAGCACCTTGACCGGTCGTGACTCGCGAGACTGTCCGATTATGTCGACTGCATATGCCAGCATCAGCCCCCTGGACGCCAGGCCCCTCACGTTGCAAACATTGGAATCCGAAAATTGTTTCTCAAAGTGTCCTCGGACCGAAGAACTGAGATACCAGTTGCAACTCATAGCGTCACAAAATGAAGCTTCTTCCCTAGTCCAGTTTGTTCCATCCGCAGTTGTGGAGGAAGTCAAACGCCAGGAGCCACAGGCTACCAAGTGAGGAGCATTTTCGACAGACGCCGTAGAGCATGCGGGTTGGTCCAACACAGCACGCAACGTTGCCTCTCAAATCAAGACATGCAAAGCAACGATGCGTCAATTGGCATCCAGACATCTACCTATTTACGTTATGAACATGAATGTAGCCCGAAATAATCGTCACCCCATTCCTAATCTTTTCGTCCTGATGCCGCACCCCTCCGTCATCATCTCATTGCGCCGATGCGGCTCGCATCGAAATAACACGGTGCTGAATGGCATTAACCACCAGCTTACCACCACGTGCCAAAAGACCAGCACACGCCAGCACCGGTGACACCCCTGTTGACATTTATGCAGTCATCGTATTGGGCCTTGCACTTGTTCGTGGCATCCCAGAAGTTGTCGCCAAAAAACTGGCCAAAGGTGCGCTTGTCGATGACAGCATCAAGATTCGGCGAGCGGTCAGCCAGCGCTGCAGACACGGGTGCTTCATCAGAAGCTCCGATTTCACGGCGGTTGCGCCAGCTCTTGAAGCTCCAGCAACCCTTGGCATACACGGCGTTGCAGCTGTCGTATTGATGGCGGCAGGCGTCGGCGCAAGCGGACGGGACATTCGGGCGCTTGTAGGAGCGGCACTTGCTGGATTCGGAGTTTGAGTACAGCTTGAATGGGTTACCGCCCTTGAATTCGTGCTCGAGGTCGTTGCACGTGACGACGGGGAGCGGAATCTTGCCGACAGGGTTGCCGGGACCGTAGCCCCACCAGGGGTTGGAGGGTTGGATGCAAATCCCCTTTGGCGGGGGGACGACTGCGGTCGTTGTGGCCGGAGGCATAGTCGTGGTAGTGGTGGCGGTGCAGGGGAAGGTCGAGGTCGAGGTGACGGGCTTGCTGTCGCCGCCGATGGGCTTGTAGAAGTTCAAGTAGCTGTTCTTGGAACACGACCAGTCCCAGCCCGGCCGACACATCCAGCCACAGAACATGTCGATGTTTTGGCACCACTGCTGGAAGTTGAAGCACTGAATAGCACCAGGCCAACCCGCCTGGTTCATGCAAGCCGCAACCTGGAGGCCACATTTGGCCTTTGCCTTGGCGCACGTATCCCAGTTGTTGAAATCAGGGATGGGGGTAGAGCACCAGTTGCCACAGCAGTACTCGTGCTTGGGCGTGGTCACAACCACGGTGGTACAAACTGGTGGAGACCTAGTGCTGGTGGTGGTGATGGTGGGCCGGGTGGTTGTAATAGGCACGGTGGTCGTAGGCGGGGGAGGTGCCTGGGTCGAGGTGGTGGAGGAGGAGGTGGGAGGCTCCGTGTCGCAAGGAGCTGTTGTGGAGGAGGAGGAGGAAGAGGAAGAAGATGAGGAGGAAGAAGAAGAAGAGGAGGTGGTGGAGGAGGTGGGAGTCTCCGTGTCGCAAGGAGCTGTTGTGGAGGAGGTGGTGGAGGAGGCAGTAGTGGTCATGGAGGAGGAGGAGGAAGAAGAAGAAGTGGTCATGGAGGAGGAAGAGGAAGAGGAGGAGGAGGAAGAAGAAGAAGTGGAGGAGGAGGAGTAGGAAGAAGAGGTGGAGGAGCCGGAAGAAGAAGAGGAGGAGGAGGAAGAGGAAGAGGAAGAGGAAGAAGAAGAAGAAGAAGAAGAAGAAGAAGAAGACGACGAGGAAGAAGCGGTGGAGGAGGTCGAAGAGACGACAGTCGTCCAGATGGAAGAAAGTGAGGTGGTAGAAGTCGAGACGGCAGAGGAAGAGGAGGAGGGCTCAACGTAAAAGTGAGACGACCAAACCTCCGTGGTCGACGCCGGAGACGACAAAGGAAGCGAAGAGGAGA